TACTAATTGAAAGAGGTAAAAAAAATTTATTGTTTTTGTTCAAGCATCACTTTTAAAGTGAAGTCAGGAATCGTTGAGTTTACTTTCAGAGGCCTTCAGTCCATTAGTGTTCTCTTTCTGCTTTACTCGGCTCAAAAGACTTTAATTTCCTGCCCTGGCGCCATGGCATGCAGCTAACAGCAGCTTCTGCGAATCTCTTGAAGGCACCCAATTACACCTACTCCTACAATCTGCCTGTTTCTCACTGTACACAGATCAAACTCTGCACACAGAGGTGTTTCTGTAAAGAAATCATTAATGTCAGAGTGAGTGGAGACTAAAACACACCGATTAAACTAAAATATACTTTTATATATCCTGTCTAACTTTAAACAGCTGATCTTAAGACTGACTAATGGCACCATCCTTTCACTGGATAAATTTATATCAACAAAGTCTAGTCTAGCAAAGTCTAGTTTGAAAGCTCTGAATTCACTGTTTCAACATACAGTATGGGAGTCATAAGTTATGTGAAAGGAATACAAGCCTAAAAAGGGTGGAAGTCACAACAAGATTTGAAAAAACAAGGGCAGGTGTGTACAGATATGTATTCTGACAATGAAGAACATGTAGTGTTTGTGTGCTCAGAGGTCCAGGAGGTAACACGAGTACAGTGTTGGACTAAAGTAGTTCTGGACAAATGAAGAAGGGGCCCAGAGTGCCTCCAGATCTCCCGTTTCAGCTCTTTTTTCTCTGTTGCTTTTGGAAGCATCAAATGCTTAAGTTGCATGGCAACAGGTATTATAAAAYGAAAATGCTAACGGCTATATGGCACACTTTAAAAATCTGAGAGATCAAATAAATGCCCTTTTACAACATGTCCAGACAGAGGGGTTTGTGGTCAGTAGATGTAAAAGTGCAAGATAAAAAAAGGAAGTTCTCAGCAGTTTGTCTTTAAACAGCTCTTTCTCTCCATACTGCTGTCCTGCAGAAATGAGAAAAGGAAAGTTCAGACACACTGCTTGGCAGTTCAGATGAGCATAGCTTGTATAGGTATTTGATTTCACAATGTTTGAAAAGAAAAATGTTTTGAACAATCCCTGAGGACCATGATTGGCTGGGGCCTAAGGCAGGGAAGAGGAGAGTGGATGTAGAGGACTGTGTTTGTTACCATGTTTAATGTTGGACCTGAGGATTGGGTGGATTCAGATATCACCTTCAGAAAGTGCTGATTTGTGTTGAATTTATTTATATTAGAGGAAATTGTAGATCACTAAGAAAAAATCTGAACTCTTTGTTGAGGGTTAGTCCGTGAGGTTTTAGGCTTTGTCTACATCTCTGGATCGTAATTGCCTTTTTGATTCCGTGAGTTCCTGTGGATCAAAAACAGAATCCCTCAGTGGGCCCACCACATCATCTAAAACAACAACACAAATGTCTTCATAAAGAAGCCCTTCGTTAAAATGAAATACATCAGTGGGGGTGTTTTTTTGCTTTATCCACCACAAACGTACTGTCCTGTGTCAACAGTCATTTCCTCTATCATCTGAATCTTAATGTTTCTTAAACTTTTTTTTGCTCCTTCTCTCCTCTGCTTTATTCTTCACTTTTCCCATCTCAGTGTGACCCCGTCACCTGTTTTCTTGCTCTCAGGCCAATTTTTCATGAAAATTTCATTATTTTCATCAGACAGATTAGCTCCACACCCTTGTTTTATAGCTGTGAGCTCACCCGTGCTGGAATAGTGGTCAGTGTTCTGTGAAAGATCTTGGGATCTGTCTTGGACTTGTGAACATCCTTGTTGAGAGTTGTAACAAAACAGTCATTTTGTGTGATGACTTTAATATTGACCTAATAAAACTGACTTAAATAACATTGGTACATTTATAAACTCAATGCACAGTTTAAATCTTTATCCACTAATATCAATACCTACCAGAATCACAACTCACAGTGCAACAATAATTGATAACATTTTTACAAATATAACAAATGGAGAAGTGTTGGGTGGCATTTTGACATCCGATGTAAGTGATCACTTACCAGTTTTCATGATTTGTAAAAATAATCAATATAATACAAAAGTAGTTACAATCAAGAAAACATAATAAACATATCAAAAAAAGCTTTGGATAAATTAAAAGATGATCTAAATAAACAACAACGTAACGTACTGTTTCTTGCCTTTCGCATTAAAATGAATTGGCATATTTTAAAGTGATTGATAGTATGAATTGTGGATTATGAAATATGCTAATCTATTCCAATCTTTCTTTAAGAAATTTTGTTTTTAAATTAGTTCTTCATAGCCCATTACGACAAGAACGTAAGACTAGAAGTTAGAAGACTAGAAAACTTTTTTTGGATTGATCATGACCTGAATGACTGAGAATCTTCACCAGAAAATAAACTGATTAGAGCTATTTTAATATTCTTATCAGATTGTCTACAGATATTGATGGGAAAGTTAAAATGAAGTAAATTTTGATTAACTGATTGAGACTTCATTCATTCCATTAAAAACAAAACAAATTCTATGTATAATTTAAAAAAATTATAAATCACAAATAAAATTAAAGGAAGCAGAAAGAAGAAAAAATGATATCTGCTCCTTTTTGCCAAAAAATAAATTCAAACGATAATAATCAACAAATAACTAAACAAAATTAATTCCTTCTAAAACAACAATTTGTATGGATACACGCTATACTATTTTGTATTCCTTTGACAAACCAACTATTATATTTCTCTTAAACATAAACATTGATCTAGCATCTTTAACATCACTCTCCAGATTATTCCATAATTTTATTCCTTGGATTGAAGAACAAATAACTCCCTTACTTTATACCRTAATGCAATGGATTTAGATATTTTTATTCTAAAATAACGTGTGGTTTCCCTGTCAGCTTTTCATCAATGATAACGCCCAAAAACGTCACCTCCCTGACTCTACAAATATCAACACCATCAACTCTAAAGRGAACATTAATAGTTCACTTTCTATCACACAATATCAAATAGTTTTATCCAAATATAATGATAATGTATTAAGTTTAAACCAAGTTTGTATTTTCACAAATTCTGTGTGCATTATCTCCAACATCCATTCAATACCTTTACCTAAACAAAGAAATGTGGTATCATCTGCAAACAGAACACTCTTCTGTCTCGACACATTTACCAAGTCATTCATGTATAAAATTAAACTTTAATTTTATACTTTGGCTCTTCAAACTTTGTGYCGAGAGTTAAAACTCAACGAGGCACTTTAATAAGCTGGGTCTCAGTGACACACTGATGATATCTGTATCATCTTGTCATGGTGCAGACTTGTTTCCCACTTGTAATGTGATAATGTAATACCACTTTCTCTGCTTATTATTCTACTGAAGAGTAGTCCCTTGTGCAGAAACCTGCTGACTATCAAATGCTAGTAACACTCTGAAATCTAAATCAGTTTGTGCCCACAGAATATGAAGGTGCTTGTGAATAGAATTAGTTTGTTTCTGTGAAGTAAAGAAAGTAAAATTTCAGAAACCCTGAAGACCAGCAAGACTGTTTGTGGCTTTCCTAGAAAAACATCCAAAACCTCTGACTACAGMCTGATGTCATTCTGCCCTACTGTTCAGCAACACCTGCAATAACAAGGTCTTCATGGAAAGGTTGTGCAAACACCTCTTGTTTCCTCACAGTATCGTTCTCTATCAAAACATCCAGAGATTATGTACAAAAACCTATATTTTGGAAACAAATGTTATAGAATAACTCCTGTAAAACTGCACTTTCTGAACAAAGTTTAGTCAGAAAGTCAAAGTTTAAAGTGCATTGTGTTCACGTTGACTCTGTCAGATACAGAGCCCGCGAGGGGACATGGGGGGGATTTTTTTTCTTTTGCTTTCCCTCGCAATACCTTTGCGTTCCCGCGCAATACCTTTGCAAAACCTTGCAATATCTTTGCGTTACCTCACAATACTTTTGCATTACCTCGCAATATCTTTGCGTTACCTCTCAAGACTTTTGCGTTACCTCGCAATATCTTTGCTTTACCTCGCAATACTTTTGTGTTCCCTTGCAATATCTTTGCGTTCCTTGCAATACCTTTGCGTTCCCTCCCAATACCTTTGCGTTCCCTCGCAATACTTTTGCGTTCCCTCGCAATACCTTTGCGTTCCCTCGCAATACTTTTGCGTTCCCTCGCAATACCTTTGCCTTCCCTCGCAATACCTTTGCCTTCCCTCGCAATACCTTTGCGTTCCCTCGCAATACCTCTGCATTCCCTTGCAATACTTTTGCTTTCCCTCGCAATATCTTTGCATTACCTTGCAATACTTTTGCGTTACCTTGCAATATTGTTTTGCGTTACCACACAAAATATTGTTTTGTATATGAACTGAAAAAAATCAAACTTTTATTTTGAAATATCCGGTCACCAAAACAGGATGTGTTGCCACAAGTTCATGAAATTGACATTGATGTTGCGTGGCTGCACTGTGTTACAGCATCAGCATATGACATACTTCCCTGCGTGGTTGTGTGATATATTCATTCTGAAGCTGAAATGAAGCAGTAGGCTAACTCGCTAATGGTAAACATGTGATTTTGTTAATAAACCGGCAGGCWCAACAGTGTTAAACAACTTTTGCGAGGGAACGCAAAAGGTATTGTGAGGTAACGCAATGCTTTTGCGTGGGAACACAAACAAAAAAGATCCCCCATGTCCTCTCGCGGGCTCCGTAGTCAGAGCTTATGCCTCCAGTACTTGAGTGTCTAACTTTTAGTGCCTACGTGAGCATCACTGTCACGTTGGTAACGTGCTTCAGCTTATGATTTCCTCCCACAGTGTTTAAAATTCTCTAACTAATTACTAATGAATCAAATGTTGATTGTTTCTTGATAAGGAGTGCCAACTTATTGGTGTGTTCTTCATCTTTTCATAAAGATTTCATTGTTTTCTGCACAACGGTTTGTGTAGAAAAMTTCCCTGTGGGGTTTTAATGTTGTGTTTCTGTGCTTCACAGACTCTTGGGAACTCTGACTTTCCTGCTGTGCTGAGGCAGTTACTGCCCCTGATGAAGCCCTGGGACAGTGCATCCTCTGGGTCCAGGCTCAGGGAGGACAAGTTTGGACCAGATGAGCTGATCCTCCTTCTCATCTATGTGTACTCTCTGGCTGATGAGGCTCAGCACACAAAGCGAGCTGCAGAAGAGGAGCAGGAGGAGCTGGAGAAGCTGGAGCGGGAGCTAATAGGAGCGCTCACCCTGGTCATCACGCAGGAGACAGAACTCAGCCCTTTGCTCCAGAAACTCACAGGTGAGAGAGGTTTCGGCTGGCAAACTGTTGTTGTACCATTTGTCACACTTGTCCCAAGAAGGTGTTAGATTCCTCCCAACTCTCCTCTAGTGCTGCTGAACAAGAGGACTTTTGTCAAAGTCTTTGCACCTCATTCTTCTCCTTGTATCACACTCCCTGTGTGTGCACACCTACACACTGTCAGCTTGGAGAGCAACTACACAAAATGTCACATGTAGGCATGTATACTGAATATGGATAAGTGTAAGAAAGAAATACCTTAAATACATTAAAGAATTGAAACAATCTGGCTGCCAACTATGGAGCTTTTCTATAGAGAACTTGTTTAGTTTAGTTTAGTTTATATATTTAAAAATAAAAAAATAAATAAATTCTATATACAATAAAAAATCAAATCACAAATAAAACAAAAGGAAAGGCAGCTGAAAGAAGAAATAAATCTTATATCTGCCCCTTTTTTCCCACAAATTAAATTCAAACAATAATAATCTACAAATAAGAAAAACAAAACAAAAAATCTAACCTTTCTTGGATACCAAATCATTTAGATACACATTATACAATTTCATATTTATTTAACATACCAACTTTGATCATTCTCTTAAACACACACATTGATCCTACATTTTTCACATCACTCTCCAGACTATTCCATAATCTTATTCTTTGGATTGAAGTACGCCATTCCTTCAAACTGGTTCTAAATTTAGGTTTCACAAACATGGCTATCCTCTTAAGATCGTATCTTTGAACAAAATTCAATTGGATGATTAAAGTAGGGCTGAAACGATTCCTCGAATAATTCGAGTAATTCGATTACAAAAAATCCTTGAGGCAAACTTATCTGCCTCAAAGCTTCGTAAGAAATACATRTTATAATCAGCGCACTTTCGTCCGCCCAGAATGTTATTTGTGTTACACACAATGCTACAGTGTTAGCGTTTCCGCTAACAGTTACACTGTCGACGCGTCACGTAAGTATGCTTGCTGCACACTATATTTAGCTTTAGAAGAAGACGAAGAGTGCCGAAACGAAGCGCTCAGAAAACAACAAATTATAAAAAGCATGGGAACATTTAAAACTGAACAGAAAAGACGACAACAAGCAATGCTCTGCACATCCGCGATGTTTCTGCACCGGAACAAATACAGCAGCTGCATTTACCGAACGCGTCCGGAGTTAACAACAGGTATCGTTCATGTTCCCTTTGCAAAATATGGTTACCTAAATCAGTGACAATCTGTCTGTCATGTTCCAGATGTACAAGGAGGAGGTATATTTAAGCTAACGTTATTGGTGCTGACTAATCATGGTGACCTGGCAGGGTTTTATTAAACAGTGTGTAAGTTGTGTGATTAAAAACAAGACTTACTGTAAGTTTGTCAGACAAAAATAAAAACACAGCAACAGATTGACGGCTTGAGCTGAAACATGTTTATTTGTTGATATGCTTTTATCTTAGTTTAAATGATACTTGGAGTACATATTTCTAATTTAAAAGTATTTATAGAAGATAGTTTGATTTTTTTTTCTTATTTGCTGCTGCTTTTATGATTTTAGCCTTCATTATACTGTCATATTTGTTTGTAATTAAGCAGTCAAGACAAAATTTTTGATTGCCTAAATGGGAACCCTGCACCAACCTAATAAGTCATAATATAATTTTTTGTTACAATTAACAATTGAACTCTACAAAACTCAATTGCAACACCCAAATGTTTATATTACCCATTTTACTTATTAAATTTTTAACAAAAAAAGACATTCAATTTTCCAATCCATAACAATAAATTTACAGCATTTAGATTTTTCTATGATGGTTAAAAATGATTCAGTGACAGAGTGTTTTTAATTAATGCCTCCTCAAACCTCACATACATAAATACAAACAAGTGGAGCTAAAATGCATGAATTAATACAACTGGTGTAATTTTACTTTGATTGCAGCAGGGTCATCAGCAGGTGTAGATTACCCCTTCACAATATTAAATAATTGTATTTCTCATAAAATAGGCTTAAATATTACTGCAGAACATGACAATTTTTATGTATCCGATTACTCGATTAATTGTCAGAATAATCGATAGATTAATCGATTACTAAAATAATTGTTAGCTGCAGCCCTCGATTAAAAGTAATACATTTTTGTGAGCCATATACATAACCTGTAAAATATTATAATCAACCAATTTATAGACTTTCAGAAACTTCAGTTGATAAAATAATGTATTTGATGGTAACTGGAAAATTTTCTAGTGATAATTCTTACAGCTCTTTTCTGTAAAATAAAAATAGAATTTATAATTGTTGTACGTGCTTTTCCCCAGACTTCAATACAATAAATTAAGTGTGGAACAATCATTGTATTATACAACATGTGCTTTGTCATTAAATAACTCCCTTACTTTGTACAGTACTACAATAGATTTAGCTATTTTTATTCTTAAATGATCTGTGTGAGGTTTCCATGTCAGCTTTTCATCAGACACCTAAAACCTTCCCTCTAACTGACTCTACAGATCTCAACACCATTGATTTGTAGATCCAGAGTTATAAAGTAACTAAGAACAAATACTTCTTTACCGTACTTAAGTAGAATTTTGGGATATCTGCAGTTTACTTGAATGATTATTTCTCAGCCTACTTTTTACTTCTACTTCTTACATTTTCACACATTTATCTGTACTTTCTACTCCTTACATCTTTAAAAAAAGGCAAGAAGTAAAAAGTTGTTACTTTTATTTCATTTTTACTTGTTTTCATTCCAGCTTGTTATTGTAAAAATTAAATACTATCCATATACAGTGGGTAAAATAAGTATTGAACACGTCACCATTTTTCTCAGTAAATATATTACTAGAGGTGCTAATGACATGAAATTTTCACCAGATGTTGGTAACAACCCAAGTGATCCATACATACAAAGAAATCAAACCATAAATTTCCAGTTAAAGTTAAAGTTCCTTTTGTGTATCCACTTACTGTTAGTATGGGTGATTTTCATGAGTAGTTCATATCACTTGATTTTATTGTCATTCATAACCAGTATTAATCCTTTGCACAAACTATTTGGTAATTCTTGTGTTTTATTTTTTGAGATCTATTGGAGTCATACAAGCACTCCAATAGTTAGCTAGTACTATAGTTAGATAAAAACCATAAATCATGTGATGGAGGGTCCAGAGC